GACACCCCTTTGCACGCCAAACTATGCTCGAACATTACCATAAATCCAAGGCATTTCACGCATGAACCTTACTATCCAATAAAAAAGAACATGCGAAACATTTCAAGTTTGGAACGATTCGCTTTCTTTGATCAAGCCGGTTCTTCTAAGGTACTTCTACGGGCTCAGCCGCTGACACTGCGGAGACTATGCCAATGGAGGTGGAGGACAATTTGGCGAATCACGGTTCTGATCTCATGCGAGAGATGGAACTTGAGAAGGCCAAAGAGTTGAAAAGCTTACCCAAGGACGCAAGTTGCGAAACAAAATGGGAGGGCATGGTTGGATCAGGGCTACTCCTCATTAAAAGTATTGAAGGTATGGGTATGGGCACTAGATTTTAAAAAGTTTTAAAAAAAGTATCCCATGGGAGATAAGTTTTCTGGCTCTGAAAATTCAGTTCGATGCCAGGACGCAAAGGTTCCTCTTCCTTCTCAACTATCTCAGGTTGCAGATCTTCTGCGTGAACAGCAGCTAGCTCTTTCGAAGGCCAAAGCTCGCAAGAGGAAGGCTGCAGAAGATGATGGTGATCATCAGGAAGATGGGGAGCCAGATGATGCAGCAGAGAAGGATGAGACAGTGAAGGAGGAGCCGAGGAAACGCAAGCCACGAGGTGCACCAAAGCCGAAGGGGAATGCAAAAGGCAAAGCGAAGACGAAGAGCATGAAGACATCTGATGCCCATGCAGAGGACAGTGAGAAGGATTCTGAGATGAGTGAGAGCCTGCCGAAGGCGAAGGCGAAGGCGAAGGCAAAAGCGAAGGCGAAGTGCAAGGCAACAGCCAAGGGGTAAGCCAGCAAGAAGTCTGAGTGTGCAGAACATAGTGAAGATGATCTGGAATGCCTTGAGGACAAGACCAAGGTCAAGCGAAAGGAAGCGACTGAGACAGAAGCTGACCAACCCCGGAAGAAGAGGACCAATCGTTCCAAAGAACCTGCACCATCGGCAACATCGGAGATCAGGGAGATCAAGGAGAAGAAGACGTTTGCAAAGTGCTACCAGCCACTGCATGGTGGTGAGACTTGGGTGGCCATTCGGGACTATTACAACAGCAACATCAAGGGCAAGGTTTCGCATGGCACCAAGTGTGAGGCGCAGGGGGTTGGAACTCTATCAACTGTTTGGGGGTGCAGCGACTGTACATTTCATATTTGATGCTTATTCCTTACTACCACTTAGAGCCCCCAAGAGGAAGAAAGTAGTTTGATATCGCCTTCAAAATTGGCAAACAAATTCTGGGGAAAAGGAAAAGCCAAGTCCCTTCTCCCACGCATCCACTTGCACCCACCGCGGTCTTGCTTCAGGAGCTTTGGTGGCAGCATTGCCATGAAGCTTTGGCGAAGTGTGATGATGACCTCACGTGCATTGACCAGGGGCTGCTTGCATCCTTCCTCTCCCGGGAGGACATGAGTCGCTAGTTAGAATTCATTCATTTGGTTCACCTTTTTTTTCACAAAGGTTTACCTATGGGCTGGGGAATCAGGCTGAAACACCACATATGGTTGGGCGAAATCCATGCAAGGGGATGATGAGCCGAAAATGTCCCATGGATTTTGTTTCCTTCATGTTGGCTCCCACTGGCCAAGGTTCTTATCTTGTCAAGTAGATCTTCAACCAGACCGGCCGCAGGTTGCGCGATGGTGGGTCTTTTCAGCAGGGCTGGGGTTCCCTTATTTTGGTGACATGGTATGGCTAAGATGTGTCAACCACATGTAGGCTTCAAGGCGGATAGAAGTTGACCGCACAGCTTGCTATAGACCTGTGGTAGTTGCGAAGCGATCAACATTCACAATCTTCTATAGTTTGGGGTTTCTTGAATGCAGTGCAACTCCATAGACAAGCGAACTCTGGTGTGAAACTCTCCGTGCTTTTGAGATTAGCGATGTTCGTGACTAGCTCCAGAAAAAGTTGAGGGCTGAGCAGCTGTATAATAGTCACATCTAATATGAAATTGTGTTTATGATTAATCAATATGGATCAAAATTGGACAGCTTGATCAATCATAAGATGGCCCCCTGCTGAACCCAAAAGATTTGAATCCAACCGGCTATACACTTGGAACTCCAGGTACATGGCCAACTTGCTTGCTGCTCTTGGCTTTCGGCCTGGGCAACGTCCACAACCTCTTCGCCAAGTAGAACGCCTGTCCAGCGAGTTTGGGTCTGGGATTGTGTCATGCCACGTGGCTTACTTGTCAATGTAGTTTCAGTTGAACTGGATCATGATTGTTGCCATTGTTTCTTTCCTGACCCTTTAACAGTCTCAAGCTTTGTGGGTCGGATCTCCAAAACCATGGCAAGTAGACGTAAACCTGAAGATGTGGCGCTGGCCCTCTTTGAACGAGGGGCTCCTAAGGCCAGGTGTTTCAGACCCATGTGCTTTTCTAACTGTTTGAATGTCCCAAGTATGACATCACTAGCTAGCCCTATATTTTCCTCTGCTGCTCAGCTCTTCGTCCTTGCAATCTTACTTCTCTTCTGGAATGAGCGAGTTGACTGCCAGGCGGGATCGGTAGGCTTATGCCAAATCCCTCGCTTTTGGTGAAACAGTGCTTGTAGGATGTTATAAGTTATCGCGTCGCAAGGCGGGACACTACAGGTTCGTAGAGCACTATGCTGGTGTAGGGCGAATGGCTCAAGCTGCTCATAAAGCTTTTGGCCCAGCCATTGCTCTAGACAAAGCCTACACGGAGACCCACAATATTCTCACACCTGGGGGATTTGCGTGCCGAGCTTGGGGGTGTGTCTATTTCAGATTTTGGCATAACAAATTTGATTTCATAGGCTATCAGCTATCAGATTACTAGTGTCCAAACAGCAATTGCAACAGTAACTAAGGACCCATCTTGTCAGCTTGCTTCGTACTGATGATGAGAATGGTTTCATGTGCTGGGTGGGCATACTCTGTGCCACTTGGGTATCCATATGCAGAGCCACGACCTTGCGTAGCTTTTTTGCGCCACTTGGAAACCTTTCCCTGGATTGTGTAGCACAGGGAAACGAAATGGCATCAAAACTGGCATTAGTTTGCTTGTTGGTGGTTTGCCTGGGTGGTGACTTCTGCATAGAGCAGCCGGGGTCTTCGATTCTTTTTCGTCACCCACGGCTACAGTGGGTATGCTCCCAGGTCCAGGCAACAGGGTGATGGGTGTGCGGATTTTTATGAAACACGTGGTAGCTTTTGATTGGCATTTGGACCTGGTCATTGTACAAAATGCCCTTGCTGCAGGTATTTCGTGCAGCTTTTTGGATGGCTTTCTACAACAGTCCCAGCCCAAAGCGAACAGTATGCTGGTCGACCCGAAAAGAGATCCGTTTGTTTTGGTTGGGGAAACTGACAAAGAAGGTCAGAGAAGAGCTCAAGAAGAAGCACCCAGGATTCCGAACAACGATCAAATACATTGATTCATCAGGACGCAAGAGATACCATGGATCGAAATCACTAAAATCTACAGGGACCTTCTTCTGACATTGGGCCAGTAGTCTTTCGTTACTTTTATTTTTTGCGTGCTATATGTTATTGCACATTGTGCATCATATTTCCAGCATTGTGTGCAAAAGCACCTGAGGATTTACACAAAGGAGTTTGCCCACCGTATGACCCATATTCTCCCGCCGAAGAAGCCCACTCACAACCCTGCACCTTCCACCGATGCTGCAGCCAAGCTGGCACAGGTTTGGAGGGAGACGGACCTTGGTGACCAATGGCCAGACGCTGGTTTGCCAGATCTTGTTCGATATTTGGTGGGGGCCCGTGGCCTCAAAGTTCCACCACAATGGGAGTGGATCATACCAACTCAACTTTGAACATGCTGCCTTAATTCAAAATTACCAGCGTGTACCAGCTGAAGATTGCTGCACACTGAATAGACTATTATTGGCCCTTTCTCAGGATCATACAAATTCACTCGTGATCCATTCATGTAAAGATAGTACATGTGTGGTTGAGCGGTCGTGGAAAAATCATTTCCTCCGTGGCAACCGGCATGGATTGTAGGGGCATGGATGCTGATGAGATGTGCTGTGCATGATTCAGCCATGTCCACAATGATGCTTGATGACTTTCCGTTGGAACTTCATGAAACTAATGCTGTCATCGGCCTAGTTAACCATTTGGCTGTGTGAAGTTGGTGTTAGACGAACACCTTTGGTGACATGGCAGCACCATCGCAACTGAACAGGCTAGGTGGGTGGGCCATCCCCTGAACCACAAAAAACAACAGTAAAGGATTCATCATACTTTTGGGTGCTTTCTTTCGAAGCTTGTCTTTCGAAACATGTCTTTCGAAACCTGTCTTTGGAAACCTGTCTTTGGAAACATGTCTTTCGAAACCTGTCTTTCGAAACATGTCTTTCGAAACCTGTCTTTCGAAACATGTCTTTCGAAACCTGTCTTTCGAAACATGTCTTTCGAAACATGTCTTTCGAAACCTGTCTTTCGAAACATGTCTTTCGAAACCTGTCTTTCGAAACATGTCTTTCGAAACCTGTCTTTCGAAACATGTCTTTCGAAACATGTCTTTAGAAACGTTCCTTTCCATATGTTGCCTTCGAAAGAGGTCATTACCTTCGAAAGACAGCATGTTTCATGGTAGATCTGATATTTAGCTTCGAAAGTGGTTTTCGTCAAAATTGAGATTTTGAAAACATCCGATTCTACATGTGCAACATCCAATTCCACATGTGCAACATCCGATTCCACACGATCAAACGACCAATTCGAAAATTGCTGGTTTTTAGCATTGTTTTTCGCAAAGTGTCGCTTCGAAACTCTTTCGAACATGCCAGCCCATGTTTCGCACATTTAATGCGACAGTTGAAGAAGCTACATCCAAGATTTGCCTGCATGGTCAATGTTCTGTGGGATCAGTGGTGTATTTGCGTATAGTAGAGCTCCCGATAATAGGCTTGGCACACATATACTTTCTATCAGGTAGTTGCTGATCAAAGCTGTTCCTTTCCATGAGCCTTCATTTGCCAAGTGACACTCCGCACCATGATTTTCCAAAAGCTGGTAGGCCGTTGCTGCGCAATGCTTGGTCAGCATCAACCCTGTTGGGTGGGGTTACTGCCTTAGACATCCAAGCTGTGAAACGAGAACTACCTGATGACCCAGCTGAGCTTCGCAAGTACTATGAGGCAGTGCATGTGGTGCGCCAAAAATACCTGCACCTAGGGCCCCCAATGTCTGAAATTGATCATGACCTTCTGCCAGATGGCCCTAAAAAACCATTGTCTCCCAATCGAATTACAAACAGTGCTATTATTGCTGTAAACTTAGGAAATTTGAAGATCGCCCAGCTAAACTTATTGCAACTAGTTAGCATACATACCCCGCTTTGAGGACAACCACTGGGAGGTGCACTTATCCAACTTATGTTATATCATATAATAACCCCATGCTCAGTGACCCTTTAAGATGGTTTGCATACAATTGTATTTGCTTTGATCTACTTGTTGCATGGGATATCTTTCAAGTATGATCCCCCTGATGGGTGTGGCCACTGCGAGAGGCTTTGTCAGAGATGGTGGAATCGCGTCCGTCATTGACACGTGGAGTTTCCAGCGCAAGCACCATTCCAGCGACGACTGAGGAGCTGGCAGCTGCAAGTTTGCGGACGCCACCGAAGGCACCTGTGTAGGATGTTCATGTGTCAGGTAGTCAGGTAAGGTGCTAGTGTGACAAGTTCCAGAATGATCAAAATTTACATATGTTTTCCTTGTTAGCTTTTGTCCTTTTCACACTGTTGGGAGGCTGCAACCCCGTCTCCTAATATCTACCTGGATGAGACAGCATCTGCACGTCCCCTTGTGAAACCCACTGCTGTGAAAGCTGGTGCGGTACCACGGCCTAGTCTACAGGAACTCCAACAGTTGGCTAGGCCATTGGCTGCAGATGCCGTTGTTCCCAAATCAATCCCGGCATCCCCTCGCCCGCCACCTTTCAAAAGGTGCCCAGAACCCAGCACAGCCGAGAGGGTCAAACGCTTGTTGGTTGCCCCATCCCCAGTCCCGTCCAAAGCTCCACCGGTCCCAAAATGGACAGTTGCACGAGAGTTGAGCAGGGAGTTTGATGAGGTTAGTGTAACTCAGGAGCCCCAAGTCCCAGAGTCAAGTTTGGTTTTTCCCAAAGGGAGCGCGCCGCCCCAGACAGTTTGTAACATGTCCCCGCCGCTGTCGGCGCCTTCAACTCCAGTGGCAGCGCCAAAGGCTTCTGAGGAAGAGCCTGGGATAGCAATGGATGACGTGCAGTGAGTCTGCCTAGATTAAAATGCCAAAGCAACATGTCAACTGAGATGCCGAGGTAGCATGCTGTTAATCATTTTTTGAACGCTCACATGGCTGTTGTGTGTAGTTGTTCCTATAACCATTTTTCCAAGCTCCACGGATAATAACCATTTTCAAGATCCAACACCTTCAGGTTTGGGGCTCTGATTGGGTTCTTCCACAGCTTTGCTAACTGCCCACTGATCTTTGGAATTAATTTTGCATTGGGCATCCAGCGGATCCATCCAGCCAAGGCTCCTTCGAGTCCACTCCCAGGGCCTCTTCTGCCTTCACCTTCCCACCTGCCGGATGGGGCTGGTGAAGCTGGTGCGGGGGATGATGGTCGTGATACAGATCAGCCGGCGATCCTTCATGTTGCAACCATGAGCCGAACTGAGATGAGCAAAGTCAAGAGGATAGTCCAACCAAAACCGAACTCTGGGAAGTTGGAAGTTCCAAAGGACATCATGAACATGTGGAATACTGCGAAGGGCAAGGGACAGCTGTTCAAAATGTGGGCCAAGAGCGGAGGTGTCAAGGCAGGGCAGTAAAACAATCTGATCGCTATACGTATGACTCATGACACACCATGACATAAGTGGCATCTAATATAATATAGCACTGGTTACTTCCATCCTTTTCAACGTTTTTAGATGCTTGACACTAGGCAGTCTTCTTGGAGAAGGTGGAGATTCTCAGCGTCACCACCAAACGCAAGAAGATTGAGGTCACTGGTGGCTTCTACTCAGAAGAGGACATGAAAACGGAATTGGGTTACAAAGAGATTTCTGGCTGCATGTCCAAAAATGTCCAATGCAATTTCAGGAAAATTGCAAATAACAAACGCATGCTGGGTAGTTTTTGGTCTCATCTAAGGGACCGCATCGAGAAGATCAAGAAGCTGGCTATCGCCAAGAAGCTTGTCAGGTGTGGTCCACGTAGGATGTGGGCTTAATTTGTGTGGACCGATGTGCCTTTGATCACATTCATAGTCCTTCCAAAAAAGGCTGAAGGCCTCTCAAATGCACTGTGTTATTAGTGCCCTTTTGCATTTGCTTTGGAACCCAAAAATTGTTGAAAAAGGGCACCTCCAAAACAAAATTCATAACAAAGACTTTTCACTTTCTTTGTTTCTTTGCAGTCTCTGTCATTTGCCAGGGTGTGCGAATATGATGCTGATGAGCGAGTACTGGGTAAATGTGAGAACCACTGGAACTCTCTCCCGCGAAGACCTTGAGACCCTTTCAAGAACACGTGTTCATGAGGGCGATGCCCCGGCTGACAGCATGGATATGGATGAGATGGACATGGGCCCAGGTGCCTTTGAAACGTTTGGGAAAGGGGATATGCCTGTCGAGGGGGATGCCACAATGAACGAATCTCAATTGCATTACCGACTGCACATGTCAACTTCATACATAGCAGCTGCAAAGATTCTCAACCCATCCCATGTGATACCAGTAGTCTTTAATAGTTTCTACTTAGGCCCAATCGAAGCTGGGCATGTACATGAAGAATGCTTTGAAGAGTAAGTCTAGTTTGGTGGCCCTTGTGGACAAGCTGAAGCCAATCGGTGATCAAGATCTTTCTTGCAAGCAGCCGCCTGGTTGCAGTGGTTGCTCTTCAATCCAGTCTTGGTCTACAGCTCTGTTACCTCAGCTCTCTCCCAGGACGATTGACAAGCTGGAGGCGCTGATTTCGCAGCTGGACAAGAACTATGAGCTCTTGTCGGACTATCAGGCTGAAGGGAAGATCGGCGGCTACACCAAGGAGTTCCTTGTCTAGTCAATTCTTACAAGATTCATGCACAAATTGAGTAATTAAACTAAATTGTTTTTCCTACAACGTGGAACAACCGGTCAGCTTTTAAAAACGGATAATCAGCACAGAAAAATACATGCTTCCAAGCAAACTTTGTTGAAATAAGGCTTTCTGACAAGATCGATGTGGTCTTCACTGAGTTGACCAGAGCGGAGCTTGGTTTGCAAAAGGCGCTGACACCATCTCTCTCTATCTCTCTATCTATCTCTCTCTCTATCTCTCTCTCTCTCTCTCTGTCTCTCTCTCTTTCTCTCTCTCTCTCTCTCTCGCTCTCTCTCTCTTCCTCTCTCTCTCTCTCTCATCTCTGTCCTTTCGGGGGTGCGTGCGCTGGTAACCACGTCCTTGCCTGGGGTGGTGTCCCACGGCAGGGGTGCGTGTGTTGCCACGCCACGTCCCTTCTTTCTTTCTTTCTTTCTTTCTTTCTTTCTTTCTCTCTCTCTCTCTCTCATCTTTGTCCTTTCGGGGGTGCGTGCGCTGGTAACCACGTCCTTGCCTGGGGTGGTGTCCCACGGCAGGGGTGCGTGTGTTGCCACGCCACGTCCCTTCTCTCTCTCTCTCTCTTTCTCTCTCTCTCTCTCTATCTATCTCTCTCTCTCTCTCTCTCCCCCTCTCTTGCTTTATCCTTGTTGTCTTTCCCTGTCCCAATTTTCCAAATCACAATCACTTAAAGCAACGCCAATGTTGCTGAGGATGTCAAAAGCCACAGCTTTGGAAGCATCCGCCAAGCCACGGCCCCAGGTTCTCCAACTAGCGGTCCAGCTTGCAACACAGAGTAGAGACGGAGCTTTCCTCAGTTCTGCCCTCGGCTTGCCCAGGTGTTTCATGTCGAAGGCCAAGCGTGCCAAGAGGGTGAAGCCTGAAGACTAGGCTGTTGTATCACCATTTTGAATAGGTACAATTGTGCCTATGTAGCTAATTATCGGCTATTCCCACGTCTTTTCTTGTTGAAGAAATCATTCTGGCTAGTGACTAAATTGCACCATGACACTTGCTGTTGAACGTGGGCTGAGCTTTGACCAAAGGGGTTTGCCGCTGGCCTCTCGTTTCCTGTTTGCAGCCTTGAAAGTGGAATTTTACAAGAAAAACCGGAAAAGGTTTGAGACACTCATGGATACTTGGGGTAAATGGATGCAACAAATGTTCGAGGAAGGCTTCTCTTACAATGGGGAGACTTGGCGCATTCTTGTCTTGGGCTTGAGTGGTGATGCTCCATTCTTAAGGGAAGCTGGCTTCCACAATCGATCGTTTTCCAATGTGAGCAAAAGTGCTTCTGCAACAACCGTATTGAAAGGAGTCTGCTGGCTGTGTGATGCAGGCCGCACTGGTGGCCCAAATTTTGAGGATCCTGATATTTTGAACGCTGCATGGGTCTCCACAACTGGAATCAATAACCCTCTCCCATGGGATGATGAGCCAGGGCCATTATTACAACACTTGCTGGCGAACCAAAACGACTTGGCATCTTTCTACCTTCCTGATATCTTTCACATATACCATTTTGGAGTGGGGAAGGACTTTGTGGCTTCAAGTCTGATCTACCTGATAAAGACCGCTTTCAAGAAGAACAACATGGCGGTGAGCATGGATGCATTCAATGCTAGATTGCAGGCACACTTTCTGCAACACAAAAGTGACAGGTGTCATTTTGGGAAGACAATGACATTTGATTTACTAGGATATTCATCGAGCAAAGACTACCCGACCGGCCACTGGAGCAAAGGTGCTGACACTGCTAGCCTTTGCAAAGTTGTTGAATGCATTACAGGTGAAGTTCTTGTGGCTAGTGCTGACTTATGCGACGATTGGATCCTGAAAACTATTTTAGCTGCTGCTACTGCAATTGGAAACTTCTTCCGTGTGGTTTTTCGCTCACCCTACAAGCTGAAGCCAGATGATGCCCAATCGGCAATTCTTGATGTGTATCGGTTCTGCAGACTGTATGTGCTCCTGGCCCACCGGTGTCTCACTCAAAAGCTTTGCCTTTTCAAAGTGAAACCAAAAGCCCATATGCTTTGCCACATCGTAAGGAAAATGTGGGTTCAATATCAAATTGACCCCAATTCCGTCACAAACCCACTAGCTTTTTCCACTTTTCAGGGAGAAGATTTCGTGGGTAAAGTCGCCCGCATCAGCAGGCGAGTTTCAGCAAAACTCCATGGTGTAAAAATAATGCACCGATACCTTGTGGGTATAGAGATTGCCCTGGAGGAAGAGGTTGCCGGATGAAAAAATGAACCGAGAACAATTTGCATGCTGTGGAGACGGTTTGTTTCGAAATCTTACAATCCTCGAAACCCCAAACGACCAGGTTTTGTTGAAACGTCCATTTCTTAAATGGAAATAGTCTTCGACCATTCTTAACTGGTTGTATAGTTTCCTAGGTATATATATATATATAAATATTCTAAACATGTCTAAATCACAAGATTCATTTTTTTTGGCACCCTTTGCATATCTTTGCAATGTATCCCATGTCTATCCCATGTCTCCCCACCACCTCTCCGTGTCAGGCGTCCCTGTCGAGGGTGTGAAGCTGCGCCGGGGTCGTGGACGTCTGGCCCGTGGCCGCCGCGGGGCAGCAGCCCAGGCCTGAGAATGGTACAATTTATGGCTCAGCTATGCTCAGCTATGGTTCTCAACTTGGCAAAGAAGGAAACAACAAGGCAATATCGAATCGTAATTCAGCAGCGACAACAATGACTCGACCTCCACCATGGGATACCATGGGTCACCGTCTACCATCCCTCAATCTCCTTGGCGTCCACACCCAACGTGCTGCCTCCGGCGCCTCGACCTCCACTTCCTCAGCTCCGTTGGGCGACGGAGGTGTGCCTCAGGGTCAAGCAGCCGCATTTTTGTTGGATGAGGGCTCGGTGCTCATAGTGACCTCATAGTGGATCAATAGTGGATCAGCAGTTGGAGATTGCAATCCTGAGAAGTATCATTCGCATCCAGCTATTTTGCCAGCTAAATCCTTTTGTTTTTGGAGTCACAAAAGCCAAGAGATGCCAAGAGACCTGGATCCAGCCCCGGCGAGGGCTGCGAACCCATGTCATGGCATGGCAGCCAGGCACTGATTTTCTTGATGAGATCTGTGTCATTGAACTGATATAGTTGTGAGCTTTAGCATATTCTGATGATACTTCCGCTGTTGATTGCGTGTTTCAAACCGTTTCTGGTTTCCTTGGCACGCAAGCTGTGGCAGGGGTGCAAGTGGTACCATTGTGATTCTTAGCATGCTGGGCCAGTTACTGGGCACTTTTTTCAGTTATCTCATTTACTTGTTCTTCTGATTATATTATGATTATATACATATTATTTGCTCTCAACTCTGGGCTTTGTAGAACACAAAGTCTTGCCTTCCATTAGTCATCCTTGATCACTCTGATTGACGCAAATTATCCTCCAACCGTGACCCCAGCATCTCGCACCACATGGAAAGTTTTGTGCATGTTCCTGTGGACAGCATCTCTGAACAAAAGCTGGGTTGCTTCAGTGTCAGCCATCGTGTACTCTGGAATTGTGTGAACTAAACACGTGCTTGAACAAATCCGAAGGAAAACGCAAGCGAGGCGTGGCAAGCGAGTGGACACATGTGGTGTAGGGTTAATTTAATTTCTAGAGAGTAGTACACAACAAGCAGTCCACTCAACACTCACATATATGCCAAAGAAAGCCTGGTCCTGCATACAGAAGCCTGCAACAAAGACGCGGGGGGCGCACTTTCTCGTAGAGGCTGGAACGTATTGTGAAGCCGATGAACAACGGAACAGCAATCCTCAGGTGATCCAGCGACAACTAAGCACCGGAAACAGCTGTTTGCCCTCCGAAGGCAGAAAAAGCATGAATAAACTTGACAGTATCATTGGCCAAGCTTCGCATACATGTAGCGCAACGCTTCCTGGCATGTCATTGCATGTTGTTTCTCCATGGATACAGTCCTTGCATGCATTCATGGCCGTGCCATGCCGTGCCTAAATTTAGCCTTGAAATGTCTTGACATTGAAAAATATGCTTAATGTGGTCCCTGACTTGTCTTGGGGTAAGTGCTTGACAAATGCGCTAACAAAATTCAACAAGATTCATGGATCTTATTGTTTGATTGCACATGATTCTGTTCCAGATGGGACCATCTGTTTGAAGCGCAAGCATAAATCTTCAAGTTACTTCTGACATTGGGCACTTTCTTTATCTACAAGGAAGGGATCAGACTTGGAACAACAATGACGCCCATGCAAAATGTCGTTGAACAGTAGCTTGACGGACACATTTGCCCGGGTGCACCTCGTCGTACTTGTCTGTGCCTGCCTGCACCGCCAGAAACTGGAGATTTCTTCAAAACCAGTATCAATTATTATATAATAATATTGTACAATCCAAATTGATTTGGAAATTAATATCAGGAAGACTTTCATCAATAGATCGAACTCAAATGTCACCGATCGCCGACTATTTGACTACAATTTAATTAATGTGTGACATGGGTGATCTGTGACTGTTGACTAACATGCCTTATCCCCAAGTTGACTCATTCATAACATGCCCTTAATGGTAGACCAGCACTGTAGATGATATCTGAAGAAGTCAATTGTGCGTAGTCTACCGTAGCAAAAGCTGCACAGCTGGACTCTGCCTCTTCGTAACCTTTCTGGCCACCAAAGCTGATGAAGGGAAATTCTTTTACCACTTCGATCTGGCACAAGCAGTGGAAGTGGGGCCCATGGTCCCTTCAAACATGTTTCTTTTGCATGACTCTAATGTGTCGTCAATTATATACAAGCAGCACTAGCAACGAATAACCAGTATATTTTTGCTAAACCCACATTGTTCTCCTACTGGGTTTCAGGTCTAAAGTCCCCATAGCCTTGCCAACCTGGATCACCTGCAGCTGCCTCTCTGCTCGGATAACTTCAATGATCTTCAATTTAATGAGTATTGCAGGTCAAACTTGGCAAATGTCTGGCGCCTTAATAGCTTTGCGCAGCTTCCAGAAGGCCAAACCCGTATCAAGCACAATCTGCAACACAGCGCAAGTGTGAGTGGCATATCCCCATGCTGATTGGGGAATAGAGCAGGGACAATTTGAGATCGACCAGGATGCACAAGAAGTGCATGCTATAAAGATCACCTGAATCGGCATGTTCCACTCACTAATCACTAATCAGTGAAAGCCTCGAAGAGGAGTAGCCGTGAGGTCTCCTTGGAAATGTTGACTGCTTTTAGACTTGCTGGCTGTTGATGGGATTCTGCACACAGAGTATATATAAAGCATGTGGACGTATGTGGAACACAACCAAAAAGACCAAGCTGTGTGTGGCACAACGGGTTGTGGCTCCGCATGAGCCGTGGAAAGAACACATTTTCATGGGGATCCACACATAAAGGCTCAAAATTGCACAAGCAATGCAATGCACAGGCAGAAACAGGCCGCGACATCCACATCCTTCGAATCTGAGTGTCCAGACTCGACTATTGAGCAAGTACACTGCAGTGATAAGCTGCATCCTTAGTAACCCTTAGTAGCTGGCAACTTCCTGTTGAAGACCAACTCCCAAGTCAAGTTGCTTCAAGTGAGCAAAGGAAAACACACATCCCTGTTGTTACATATTATTCATTTCATACGCATTGTAATTGATGATCGCAAATCATTCATGTCGATGACTTACAAAATCCATGTAAAATCATGCTTCCCTTGACTCGACTTCCTTGCTTAGTAGCAGAAGCATGCAAAAAATACAATTTCCAATTAGAACCTCACAGACTCCCAGAACATTTGCAGTCTACTGCACCATCAAGTGCTATCGAAATCAAACACTTACAACACTGGCGTAGTGCCATTTTCCCCATAAAAATGCATGCATACATCATCATATATCTAACTGATGTGCCTTAGGAGGAGAACCCTTCCTGCGGACCTGTCAGGAGGCCAGACACAAACGATACCATCATGCTGCGTGCAGATAGGCCCTGCGCCAGCACAAGTGGATCACAGTCTGTGACACAAGTCGAATCATTCGACATACCTTCACAAACTTGTGGACATGGTACGAGTATGCAGTGTCAAAATGCAAGCAAAATGGTGCAGTCGAAGTACCTAATACAACTTGCCAATGCCTTCCCTGCATGAACCCCTCGCAATTTCTCAGGAGCTCACTAGCTTTCAATCGCGCAAAGGCAAGTAGTTGGTACCTGCCTGGTAGTTCTCCCAATCTTGCATCAAGCTCTGACTGGCGGTACTTGTAACAAGCAGGTCTTTGAAGCAAAGGTTTTCTGGGCTTGAGAGGAGTTTCTGGGACAACACCTTCAGAGACTTCCAGTTTTGCTTCCCTGACTTTGCTGACTTGCGTGCTACGATGGTTGCACCTTTGTCCAGAAACTGATGCAAGGAGGTCATATGCGCAGAAGATAAAGACGAATGGCACATAATCAGGAGCGCTTGCAAATAGTCAACTGCAAGTTTGTAGTCCATGTCCCCCTTGCGCTCTTGCATCAGTTCATCAATGATGCTGACTGCATTTTGAGGCTGTCCGGACAAAAGGTGCACTTTTGCATATGCGGTGTACACAAGGAAATTTGGTTCAACTTGAGAGGGGTGAACAAGTGCCTCCCAAAGTGCATCCGCTCGCTTTGGGTCAACTCGTGCTGCTGTAGCCTCCATTAACGTTCCCAGCACAACCGCATTCAGATCAAGGTTTCGCTGCAAGCAAAGCTTGAGTGTAGCATCAACCTCAGCGTGCCTTCCTTGCATCTCATAGACAAACATTCTGGCTGTGTAGGTAACCATGCTTTTTTCAAATGGTTGCCCCTCTGACCAGGTCCATAACTCATCTGCCCAAGTGAATGCCTCACTGCTACCAGCTCTAGCACATACTTGAAAAGCACTACTCAATGCACAGTTGAAATCAGCAGCATTTGATGGCACTGGATGGCCCCAAATTTCCCTTGCCACACGAAACGCCTTCGCTTTTCTGATATTCATTTGTGACGCAGTGCATTTCCTGCATTTTAGGCAAGAAGCTAAGGCATGATTGAAAATGTTGTGCTCGATGCAATGCAGGACTATACCATGTTGCTCTTGCAACTTTCGAATTTTAATCAATGCGTTCCACCATAGGCCCTGACCACATCGCTGTAGAGCAGCGCCTACCACACTTGCATCAACCTTGCCATCCTGTAGTGCGTTGTGGAATAGTTTAAGCAACTGCCTTGAACTTCTAGATTTTTTAAGCTGCATCCTCATCTTGGCCGTCTTTTCTCCCCGCCCAAGGGTCTGGTGCTTGTCTTTGTCGGTGGGGGTAAGCAAAAAGAATAAATCCTTGGATCTCCGCCCTGTAGGCGAAGCAAATTCAGCCCGTGATCGCTGCAGCATGCGATTCTGCTCAGACAGAGGTACTTCACTTGGCCTGGAGTGGCTTCGAAGCACTATCCTGGTCATGCTGGCAACAAGGAGCCAAGGCTTTATGAGCGTCTTGGCCAACTCTGGAATATCTGAACGAACACTGAACATCGTGTCCCTTGATCTGTACAACATGTGGCCTGCATGCGGCCTTGGCATAGTGGGGGGTGTCATTGCCCACATTCTTCTTTTCAAGGTGAGCAAGTCCACCGTGTATACACGTAGTACAAGCACGAAATTCACCAATAGAACTCTCTTTGGGCAAAAACAAAGCGGCAGCCTTGTGAATTTGTGTTGAGCTCCCCCGTGCTGTAACGTGTAGTGAAGCTTAGTAAGCTCTCAGTGCAAAGATGTGAACATTGTGGTGGTCACTGTTACAGGGTAGGGTGATATCTGAATGTGTGCTGGAGCATGTCATACGCGGCCTGGGTGGACCGAAGCAAAGGAAAATTCATGAAAATTCGGATCTCAGGCAAAATTTGATGTAGAAACATGTAAAAACCTTGGTTGACTATCATTGTTGCTCTGCAACTGCTGATCTGTTTTTGTTTTCTTTTGTATTGTTGACGTAGAACCTGCAGTCCAATTGAACATTGAAACAAGAGGTTACAATAGAACATGCTCTTGTCTGCTTGATTGCTTCAATATCCGCTCACCACGCATTTCTCCCTGTCATGTGATATCATTGGCAATTACCGCAAAGGAACGATACTTCCTTGGACATTGGATTATATAATACCTTGACGTCATATCAAACCACATCGGAACGCTGAAACAAACGTGAAGAAAGCATAATGCTGGGAATTTTCCACCATTGTTTCTCACCATTGGGTACTTTTTACCTGGGCAATGCTGGTGCTGGTGCTGCCTTCATCGACTCGTTTTGCCGCCAGAACTGGATGTCATTCTTGAAGGCCAGCATGGAGAAGACCTGCGAAGTCTGGGCTGTCGTGGAAAGAATTGGCTGCAAACAAACATGGATATCCTTGGATATTTACTATATATTACATAATATTGAACACTATCCAAGTATGTATCATATATTTAATACTATCAAAGCTAATATATGATACATATTGATACATACTTGCAATAATTGCAATAGTGACCTAATGACATCATGCTAAAACAAAATGATAAGAACAACGGATGACCACACAAATGTTACATTCTTAAATGCTCAGGAATGGTTTGTATTTTGCGTTTGTTTCATGAAGGAAGGAATCAGCTCACATGTCTTCCGAAAACACAACTCCATCTACTTGTCACCCCATTCCCATTTTGACAACAGCATAGGCTGCCGTCGCTGCTGACTTTTTGCTACTACACTGGCTTTCCTTCAACCCAGTCCTTGGTGGGAAGCCGTCAGTGCCACTGATCACAGAACTTGACAGCATGCACATTTGGACAGAAGATAGAATGATATAGAAATATAGACATGATTCAGTCGCTCAATTTTCCATGTCCTGTGCTCTTAGAAACAAGTGTTTGACCACCTCAAACATGAAACACCCTAGTTACCAAATATCAAACAGTTTCAAAAGAACTGGAAGTAAGATGAAGTATGGGCAAATATGCGTTCACAAGTACTCCTCCATTATGTTTCCTTCAGATCTTGCAAAACGCTGGAACTGGTCAACTTGCAATTCAAGTCAACTCCAAGTTGCAGAGAGGACAGCAGTCTTGATCGGCGCGCGATTGACAGCTTGTGCCTATCATCAAATTATATTGGACCCGAAAAACTCATAAAAACTCAGTGTAAATGCCAAGTGATTTGTGAGATTTACAGGAAAGGGTCCATGTGCTGACTTCGCACACTTAGCGAGGCCATGTGCTGACTTCGCACACTTAGGCAAGAAGTGAAAGTTCATTTTCATTGTTTCAAATACTTGTCAGGGTGATGCAGGCCATTCTGCTGGACATGGGGTCATGTTGGCCACACAAATAATATGATGGACCATTTTCAAACTCTTCTTCT